CATCCCCTCCCGCCCCCCGCCACACACATACACAAAAGAATTAAATAGCTGAAGTCTTAGGAGGGCAACATCAGGAAATCCACAGAGTTTAGTGAGCCTCCTGAAAGTTGAAAACAGTAGCACAAGAAAAAGAAAAAGGAACACTGAGCATTCATTCGTTTATTTTGGTTTTTTTTTTTTTTTGGAGACAGGGTCTCACTATGTAGCCCAGGCTGGCCTCAAACTTGTGGCGATCCTCCTGCTTCAGCCTCCCAAATGCTGCGATTACCAGCATGTGCCACCATGCCCAGTTTACACCTGTAATTTTTTAAAAGTTCCAATTGTATTAGCCCACAGCTGCTGTGTGTATGTGTGTGTGTGTGTGTGTGTGTGTGTGTGTGTTTGTGTTTGTTAGTGAGGATCAAACTCAGGGGCACTCTACCACTGAGCTAAATCCCCAGCCCTTTTATTTTTATTTTATTCGTGGTACGGGGGATTGAACTGAGGGCCTTCACCCTAAGATACATCCCTAGCCTTTTTTTGTTTGTTTGTTTTGAGACAGGGCCTCACTAAATGGACTTGTGATTCTTCTGCCTCAGCCTGCCAAGTGCTGGGGTTACAGGAGTGTACCACTATGCCCTGTTTAAGTAAAGCTACTTTAACAAGTATATTGTATATTATTGCATATTCTATTTCTTGCTATAATTATTAATGGATTTTTCTTCCATTTCCATTTGCTCGTTGCTATTATAGGGAAAAACTATCTGCTCTTGGAACTTTATATTGTATCCAGCCCCTTTTTAAGGTCCCTTAAGAATTTTAGTAGCCTTTTAGCACTGTCTGATAGATTTTCTGTGTCCAAAATCATATCATTGGCAAAAAGCTATGTTTTTATTTTTTTGCCAGTATTTACTCTAATTATTTCATCTAGAGCTCACAAAAATAATTTTGAGTTATAGTTATACTGGATATCCCTGTTTCTTTAGTATTTTTTTCTTTGTGATGCTGGAGGTGGAACCCGGGATCTCAGATGCTAAGCATACAGTACCACTGAGCTACACCCTGAGCCCCTTTGGCCACTTTCAGTGGCAATAGGTCTGTCATTTTACTTTCTGGCGTGGTATTTGGCATGGCTATGTTTCATGGATGGTTTGTATGACACTTAAGTTATTTCCTTCTTCCCTAGTTTTAGTGCACTTTTATTAATAATGGCTGCTGAAAAAAAATGACTTTTGTGTTAGATGGTTTTTTGGTGTAAGCTAATAGCATGTTTCCCCCTAATTTGTTGATATAATAAAGAACAGGATTAATCATCCCCATAGAAGAATTTAAGAGGGATTGTCACCTTACAAGGAAAAAAAATAACAGGAGAGACTACCCATTTCCTTTCATTCAGATTACTTGGTTTCCTACCTGCAATGTCACCATCAGGCCAGGGATGAGACCCTCCTTTCCCCACGGAGCATCCCCATTCACTGCCCCAGTCCCACCTTCTCTCCAAAACCTAGATCTGGCATTGAGGGCTAGACTGACTCGACCCAAGAGTAATGGGCTCCCACCTCATGAATTCGACTCCAGATACCACGATCATTTCTATACGGCACCCTAAGTAATAGGGGTAATAGGGGGGCTGCTTGGACTTTGCAGGAGGAATGCAGAATGATACTGACAACGTGGATACTGCCCTTTTAGGATTTCTTGGAGTCTGTGGAGACACTGAGCCTTAGGCCTTACTGGAGGCTGCAGGATCTTCTGCATAAAGACCCCTCTCCAGCTTTGAAAGGGGGCTGAGGCCTAGGGTGAACATGACAGCTAGTGGGAAATCACCCCAGAGCTTCCCTGCCCTGATTCCAGGAGAACCTGGTAGATCATTTCAGGTAAGAAGGAGGAGCCTACTTTTGTCTATTTGTTTTTTCATTCTTTGTTTTTAGTACGCTTTGATTTTTGACATAATTATAGATTCAAAGGCAATATAAGGTTTACCCCATTTCCTTTGATGGTAACAGCTTGTAAACCTTGGAACAAGATCATGATCAGGATGTTAACGTACAGAACATTTCCATCGCCACAAGGATGTCTCATGTTAACCTTTACCAGTCAGGACCACTTCCCTCCCACCGCTACTTCCTCCTTACCCTCTAGTAACCACTAGGCTGTTCTCTAACACAATATAATTTTGTCCTTTCAAGAATGTTATATAAATGGAATCATTGAGTATGTTAGCTTTGGGATTGGCTTTTTTGCCAAGCATAATTCTCTGCAGATTCACCCAGGTTGCTGTGTGTCACAATAGTTTGCTCCTTCTTATTGCTGAGTAGTATTTCATGGTGTTGATGTGCCACTGTCAAAAGCAAAACAAAACAAAAAAGCACTATTATGTCTCCACTGAATTGCTCTTGCTCTTTTGTCAAAGGATGTTGTATATGGCTCTATTTCTGAGCTGTCTTGTCTCTTCCATTGATCTTTTTATTCTTTCACCAAAACCGTACTGCCTCATTTGACATAATTGATAACTGCCTTCCTTTTTTTATTTTACAATTTTGGTGATATTGGGGATTTAACCCAAGGCCTTTGCACTGACCTACATCCTCAGCCCTTCTTAATTTTTCATTTTATGACAGAGTCTTGCTAAGTCATTTAAGTTTCCCAGTCTGGGCTCAGATTTGAAATTTCTCCTGTTTCAGCCTCCCAGAGTGCAGGAATTATGGGCATGTACCACCATGCCTGGTTTACAGTAAGTCTTAAAGCCAACTAGTATCTATTAGTACTGTGAGTCATAGAAACATGTAGTTTGGGAATGAAAAGGCCAAAAAAGTAGGGCTGAGGAATCTTAGATTCCTAGATAGCACTGTGGAGAAATTGCTCAGACCCTGGTTAAAAACAGTAAGGAAAACTTTATTCAAGACATTTGGAATAGGAGAGAAATTGAATTCAACCCTACATAGAATGGAAGTATTTTACACCATTGGGCATGGACAGGAAGTAGGAACTTGGTTATACATCAAGATTGGGGGGGGAAGAATTTGATTAGATCACCAAGCATAGGAGAAGAAAATCTTGATGAGGTAAGAAATTCTCTCTAAATTAGTTTAGCAGGAGTTTTGGTAAATTAGAGCTTGTCAGACCATGGATGAGGCCTAGGTCCTAACTAAAGGGCTGGCTAAGATGTCCTGGTTTTTGAGAAGGGTGTCCTTGTCAGTGCCCACATGGTCACCCATGGTATGGAATGGCAGCTGTGCAGGAATCAAATTACTAAAGGCAAAAGATACCAGTAGAATTCAATGATAGATCCAACTCCTGAGGACTTGGTTCACTGGAGGCGTAAGGAATGCAAGCCAATGAGAAAAAACCCAAAAATATACAGACTCTTCGTTCTTGTTATACACAATAGCTAAAATGAATGTAAAAGAGTGGTAAGTCAGATTTTGTTGCTGGACTAAGTAACCTTAGATTTTGGTTAGTTAGAATTTCTTTTTAGTGTTGGAGATTGAACCCAGAGCCTTCATATATCTCCATCTACATCCCCAGCCTGTTTTTATTTTTTATTCTGAAAATAGCATCTGACTAAATTGCTGAGGCCGGGCTCAAAATTGTGAGCCTCCTGCCTCAGCCTCCTAGAGTGCTGGGATGGCAGGAATGTGCCACCATGTCCAGGTTCATTAATTGGAGCTTTGACTACTAGCTTCACAGGCACCCACAAAGGTTAAGATCATCTTGGGACAACAGAGAGTAGTTAGTTTTGACTTCTGGTCATCAATAAGATGGTCCAGTTGGGGGAAGCGCAAAACTTAAAAATGACCGAAGCCAGGGTCTGTGGTGAGAAGGAGTGGTCTCATGTGATCAGTATGGCCAGCTTTCTGAAAAAGCTTTATTAATGTGACTTGTCAGAGTAACTAATATATTAGCAATGTCTTTGGTTTTGAATCCTACTGATATAGGGAAAAGAAACTCTCAACCTGCTAGATATCTGGGACGAGTTCATGTTCTCTAAAATCGAAGAATGAATTTTAGGAACGACGGAGGTTGAGAGCGGAATGTGTTTATTGAAGGAAGGAAAGCTTTTGTCTGAGAGAGAAACAGAAGGGGAACCAAGCAGGCTGTGAAGGAACCTGCCTTTTGAAGGGATTTTTGTAGAGCAAATCCACGACACCAGGCCGGTCCAAGGTGGAAAACATGGGAACTCGCAAGGTGGGCACGAGGCGGGACAAAATTATGGTCAGCCAATAAGATTGCAAGCATAATTCCTCAGCTAAAAGTGATTAAATCGGGATCAGATGGGAAAGTGAGTCATGCAGCAAGTGGCCATGAATACAGATCGGGCTATTCCTGTAGGGAGTTGCCTTAGTGACTCTTCCTGGCTTTCTCATGGTGAGAGTTATATGTGTTATATAACCCTCTCTCTATCCTATATTCAGACAGGATAAAATCTCTCCAGGATGAGAGCTGGCCTTTTAGGAATAACAAAAAAGAGTGAGTGAAGCGGAAGTTATTCCAGTTACAGCTTAAGTGAGACATTTTTCTAGTGACTGCTTTTATTGAGGTGTAGTGACTGAAAGGGAGGTTAGGGTTGGAGAAGGACAAAGAGACCTGTGCCAATGTCCAGCAATAGGCTGGTTTCTTTTCCCTCTATAGTCATGATTACTCAGGGCCCCTCCATGGAGATGACAGGTGTAGATGACAATCCAGCCAGAGGGAGGAGGCAGAGTGTCCCAGGCCCTTCAGTCCTACTGGACCACCTGGGAAGATGAGGCTGAGCTCTGGGGCCTCCACCTCAGAATGCAGTCTGGCTTCCAGGGGCTGCGTTGGCGGTCAGGGAATTGCTTGCGGGGCCTCTTATGGCAGTCCCTCTTAAGGTGGCCTGGCTTTCCATAGTAGCAGTTGAGCCTAGTTGTTGAGCTCCTCTTGGAGCCACGAGAATCAGACTTAGGGTCTGTTTGTTTTAAGGCCACAACAAAGGCAGCCACTTTTTCATCTCTTTGTTTTTTTCTCCTTGGTTTTCTCCCAGTCTCAGTAATAAAACACTAAGGAGGCAGTTTTTACTAAAGTATCAAGTGCGCTATCTGGAGCAAAAGCTATCTTTGTAGCTCTTTTCTAATATCTGGGGCTGACTGGGTAATAAACATGTCTTTAAGCAAAACCTGTCCTATTGAATCAGGAGCTATGGACACATGTTTTACCAGTGCCTCTAGTAAACATTCTAAGAAAGCAGGGGGTTTTCACCTTTCTCCTGATAATAGCTGAAAATTTAAAATAACTAGAGGGCTTGGTTTTTGTCCTTCTTAGACCTTCAAGAATGCACACTTGAAAATGTCTCCTGCTCCAACCTCCTGTGTGGCTGTTAGGCCAGCAGGGGTCTTGGGTAGGGACTGCTTGGGCTCCAGTGGAAACTGGTAGTTCCCCTGGTTGTCTATCTTCTGGCTATTTAAAATTAAGAGTATGATAGTCATCCCCAAATGTAATAGCAGCTTGTAATGCTGTTTGTCTCTCATTAGAAGTCAATGTTTGATTTAAGATTAGCATCACATCTTTCCAGCCTAGCTTATAGGTCTGAGTAAATCCTCTAAAGACATCAGTGTACTTATCAGGGTCATCGGAAAATTTTCCTCGTTTTAGCTTGATCCACTTTAAGTCATTGAGAGAAAGAGACATACGAACGTAGGTAGTCTCATATGGATTGTAATTATACTTTGAGCATAAATACGAATTATTTCTTAATGTCAATAACATTTGAACATAAGGCAATTCTGACCATTTTCCCTCTTTTTTACAGTATAATTTTAGTTGTAAAAGAAAATAACAATTAATACTTTCTTTTCATCCCATTTTGGATCTAGGGGGTAGGCAGGCCACGTGCATTTGCAGAAAAATATTAAATGGCTCTTTTTCCACATAGAAGGATCAAACACCTTCCAGTGCTCAAGGATGCACTCTAAAGGACTGAGAGACTTTGACTATGAGCATTCCACATCTGAAATACAAAAAGGAAATAGTCTGGGCATCCCTTCTTTATTTCTGATTTTTGTACCCTCAAGGCACGACTAGAGTAGATCCCACTCCCGTGCAGGTACCTGCCATCTGGAGAGAGCAGAAGGCAAAATCCATCCAGCCCATCCACTGTGGAACTGGCATGCAATTTTATCCTCCCAGGAAGCTCACAAACTGCGCGGTTACTCTTATTGGACATTTAAAAGTGTGAGTTACAGTTGGTCTGGTGACGGGAATATCTAAAGAAGGAGGCATAACTTTGTGATCTACTATTGCTTTTTGTTCTTTGGAAGAGGACAGCTGTATAAAAAGGTGAGTTGGAAGTAGTTAGAGCACTTTTCCTACTGTACTGGGAAAGAGATCACCTCTGGAGATAGGTAAAAGGGACAATTGACCTGAGGAATTCCACTCTGGCCCCTAGAGCAAAGAAGTCTCCAAGACTTTCCTGTTATCTGTCTAATCCCCTAGGCAATCTTTCCTAGCAGCAGGACAAGGCTATGCTTGATTTAAATGTTTGAAGCTCACAAGTTAAACTTATATTTATCACCTAGCAATCACATTTTACATGTTGATAAAGGCATATCAGTTAAGGCTGACTAAAATCCCTTTCTCACTCTTAATTAGCATATGTAAGGCACAAAGGTAAATCATTCCCTGGTAGCTGCTGTGAAATGTAAACAGTTGTTGCAAGCTGCCTCAGCCTAATTTCTGAAAGGAGAGGTAGTTAAGTAGTTCAACTGAAAAGCTTAGGGAGAATTTCTAGCACAGAGAGTTAAGTATAATCGATAGTGGAGATTTTTCTGTGGTCCAGAGCCAGTTTCCACTGAGGAAGCTTTGGGTATCTGCAAGAGAGTAGCCCTGGCCATGACCCCTCAGTTGTTCTCTCTTTCTA